ACAGACCATGAGATCATGACCTGAACCAAAGTCAGATGCTTAACCCACTGAGCCACCCAGGCGCCCCAAGTATCTGACTCTTGATCTCAGCTCAGGTCTTGATCTCAGGGTTGTGAGTTCAAACCCCATGTTGGGCTCTGCTCTGGGGGGTAAAGCCTACTTAAAAAAATAAAATTAAATAATGAAAACTTATTCTGAAATAGAAACTTAAATCACGAGAACATTTTAAGTCAAGCTCAGTTAACGGGTACTATTGTTTTTCTCCTTTTTTTTTTTTTTTGTGGCGGGGGATTGGATTTTCAGTAATTCCATATAATCCTTCAAGTCATGAGAGTTTGGACCAAGTTGGTGAAGAAAAGGAGGTAAGATAATTAGTTTTATTGTATATTACATCATTAGCTTTTTAATAAGACTTGACAGTTAAAAAATATGAAAATTAACTTGCTTAGATTTTAAATCATAATGGTAAAATGCAGGAATGATTTTTAATGATGTTTGAGTTTTATTCTGATTTAATCTAATAATTGCTAATTTCATTTAAATTAAATCTGGTGGGATAACTTCTTTCTTTATCCTTTTATTTATTTATTTTTTTAACAGGAGAAAATCAAATTTAATAACCATACAGGGATAACTTATTTTTATTTAAGACAGCATAATCTAAAAAATTATTAAAATTTTAATTGAATATAATTTAAGAGTGAGGTTTAGAATACTTGGTAGTATTATTAAGATATATTGTAGATCCTTCCATATTATGGGCTAGTTGTTTATTTCAAGTATAAATGATTAAGCATCTTAAATACTATTATTTTTTCTATTAAATGTTTTATCAACTTTTAAAGCAGTAAGTTTTTAGTTAAAGATATTTAATTAAAATAATATTTTTTAAAAACTATCTTGTAGTGAAAAAGACTTAGGGGCACCTGAATGGTTCATTCAGTTAAGTGTCTAACTCTTGATTTCAGCTGTTTGTGATCTCATGGTTCGTGGGTTCAGGCCCCATGTCGGGCTCTGCACTGACAGCACAGAGCCTGCTTGGGATTCTCTCTCTCCCTCCCCCCACTCTTTCTGCCCCTTCCCCACTTGGGCTCTCTCTTTCTCTCAAAATAAATAAATAAACCTTAAGGGGGAAAAAAAAAGAAAAGATTCATCATGTTTCACACCTTCCACTCCCACTTTGACTTCTGAGAGGCAGCTCTTTTTAATCATTTCTAGTTATGCCTATAATGTTTATAACTCTTCAATTTTCCAACTTTATATATTGCAGGCCAGAAAGATTTTGTTCACAATTCCTCCCCCTTTTTCCATCTCTTTCCAATATTTGATAGGTATATTATGTTTTACTCCTAGTTACCTTTAAAAAACCCCAACTTTGGGGCGCCTGGGGGCTCATTTGGTTAAGCACCTGACTTGATTTCAGTTCATGTCATGATCTCCCAGTTTGTGAGATCGAGCCCTGCATTGGGCTCTGCACTGACAACGTGGAGCCTGCCTGGGATTCTGTCTCTCCCTCTCTCTCTGCCTCTCCCTTGCTTGTGCTTTCTCTCTCTCTCTCAAAAATAAACAATGAATAAATAAATAAATAAATTCCCAGCTTTTTATTGTGTAAAATTTCAAACACAATTAAAAGTAAACAGAGTAGTATAACAAAGCCCCTGTATCCATTACCCAGATAAAACAGTTATCAGTATATGGCCAATGTTGTTTTGGCTATCCATTTCCCTTATTCCTGTATTATATATACTCCTGTATTATATTTTATATTATCTGTATGAGATTATCTTTCTTCTTGAAAAACTCAATATTTCCTTTAGTGAGAAAGTACTAATGATGAATTTCTTTAGTTTGCATTTGTCTGAAAATGTTTGTATTTCACTTTTGTTTTGAACGCTATTTTTATAGATCAGTAGGGTTTGTTTTATTCAGATCCTTTAAAGGTGGCATGCCACTAGTTTCTGGTTTCTGTCTTGTTAGTGATTCTGTGAAGGTACTGTGCTTTTGTTCCATTTCATTCTCCTTTGTAGTTTCAGTTAACCACATTTAAATTTTTTTTTTTAATGTTTATTTCTAAGACCGAGAGAGACAGAGCGTGAGTGGGGGAGGGGCAGAGGGAGACACAGAATCAGAAGCAAGCTCCAGGCTCTGAGCCATCAGCACAGAGCCCGATGCGGGGCTCGAACTCACGAACGGCGAGATCATGACCTGAGCCGAAGTCGGATGCTCAACCGACTGAGCCACCCAGGCGCCCCCAGTTAACCACATTTAAAGTCTGTATATTACCTTTCCTTCTTACCATTCTATGCTTTCTTCATCTACTCTAATCTGGTTTCTTTTACTCGTCTTTATTCATTCTTGTTATCACATCAGATTATTATTTCTAGATTTTTGTGTGACCCTTCTCTTGAAACCTCATTCTCCTTCAGTTTTCATGATACTTTTTTTTTCTTTTTTGTGCTTACTAGTTTTTCTCAAAATTTGCTCTTTGTTTTCTTGATACTCTTCACTTGAGAAAATTCATACTTAATTCTTATGGGTACATGTTGATTGTATGTGGAGGATTTTGCAGATGTGTTAAAACAGATTATCTTCGGTCTTGTCTATAAATTACCAGAAGCCCAAGTTTCTAGTTGTAAATGGATTATAAGGCTGGTTTTGTCATTCCAAAAGAGCTTGGTATTGTGTAGAAAAGAATGTTTTCCATTAGTTAAGCTGCCTCATGCTTATTTTCTGTTTATAGCTTCCAAAAATATCTCTGAATATATCCGCTCATTAGCCCAGATTTGATATATCAAGCTTCCAGTGGACTCTTTAATCTTGCAATCCCATTGTATCTTGTATCTTCAGTATGAAAAACCAAGCCCATTATCTCAACAGCTCTGTTAATCTTATCCTATGTGCACACTTTGTTTTTCTGTCAGTAGTACCTCCAGTCTCCCAGTCATCAAAGTTAGTGTCATTTTTTTAATTCACGTATCTCCATTGCCTTCATACCCAAAGTTATCACATCTTAAGACATCCTTTAACATTTCTCAGATTTCAACTCCCTCTCCATTCCTATCAGTACCCGTCTGACCTCAACTCATGAATTCATCCTTTCCCTGAGTAGTTAGATTATATCGTTTGGAATGAATAAGAAAAGAATTATTAAGAACTTAAATCAGAAAATACTTAAAAAACATCTTAACCAGGTACTGGAAATATAATGTATTATGCAAAATTTCTCCAGGTATAACTATTTGATATTAATGTTCTCGACAGGCAATGAACACCAGAGAAAGTGGCAAAGCTTCATCCAGTTTAGGTCTTCAAGATTTTGATTTGCTTCGGGTAATAGGCAGAGGAAGTTATGCCAAAGTATTATTGGTGAGGTTAAAAAAAACAGATCGTATTTATGCAATGAAAGTTGTGAAAAAAGAATTGGTCAATGATGATGAGGTGAGTAAGCACAATGTTTTATCATTTCTGAACTGTTAAGTTGGCTTAAGTGTACTATTTCAGAGAAAACCTCAATGATTTGTCTTATCATTTCAGTCTACATTTCTAAATATATGCTTCAAACAGATTACATAAGATATATTTAATGTAATCTGATGACTACTAGATTTTTAAGAAATAAAAATCAAGCCATATTATTATCAAGGAAAAGTACTTGATCTTTGTAAAAGTTTTCTAGACTGTTTCATAATGAAAGATTTATTGGTGTTTTTGTATAAAGCTGTTGTTTCATGATTATCATGAAACAGTAGTAGTTAGTTACTTACTTGTATTTGTGATCATTGAATTACTAAGAACAAATTTATCATAGTTTTGATGATAATTCAGTTTGACATGGATTTCTTTCATATTTTGAAATAGGACATTGATTGGGTACAGACAGAGAAGCATGTTTTTGAGCAGGCATCTAATCATCCTTTTCTTGTTGGGCTGCATTCTTGCTTTCAGACAGAAAGCAGGTAAGATTGAAAGATAATGGAATGATTCCTGGGCTCTACACCTTTTGGTATATTACACAATGAAAACTGCTTTCTACTATAAGCCGGAAGCGGAAGACATGGAGATGGACACAAGAGTACTCTGTTTAAAATTTCCTGCTACTCATACTCCAATCAGTGATAGCCGTCTAACGGTGGATCAGCAGTAGGAAATTTCCTGCTTTGGGCAAAAAAAAAAAAAAAAAAAAAAAAAAAAAAAAAAAGACCAGGTCATAATTATGGCACTAAAAATCTAACTTTTGAAGTATCTTCAAGATTCTAGTTTTAAGACTTAAAGTGTCCTAGAGTTTAACTAGAGAGAGAAATCCTAACTTCTTTACCTTAAGTGACCGTTAAATAAGACTTGTTTTGCAAGGGCCAAAGTTGAGGTGAGAGTAAGAGGCTCTGGATTGCTAGTGGTACTACTTTCAAATGGAAGAAGCAGTTCTCACAGTTCTGCTGGTTTACTGTTTTGTATCTTCTGTGATTAAACAGCTTTCTTCTCCAACTACCCTTTGTTTCCGCCAAATTCCTGGAGTGTTTGTTCAGGATAAATCTGGAGAATGCTCTCTATGTTGTAACTGCTCTCTACAGTGTTTAAAAATGCGAAGTTACACTGCCTCGTTTTGGATTTTGGTGTCATGTGCTCTCTCCTGTGTTTTTTTATTTTTATTTTTTAAGCCCACTGACATGTCAAGTTCCTAGAGTTAAGCCCTGCTAATTTTCTTTCTTTCTTTTTAATTTTGTTTCTCCCACGTTTTCATTTAAATTCCAGTTCATTCACATACAGTGTAATATTAGTTTCAGGTATAGAATTTAGTGAGTCATCACTGACCTATAACACCCAGTGCTCATCACCTTAATCCGCATCACCCATTTAACGCATCGTCCCCATCCACCTCCCCACCAGTAACCATCAGTTTGTTCTCTGTAGTTGAGTCTGTTTCTTGGTTTGCCTCTCTTTTTTCCTTCCTATGTTCATTTGGGTTTTTTTTTTTTTTTCTTTTCTGTGTTTTAGATTGTTCTTTGTCATAGAGTATGTAAATGGAGGAGATCTAATGTTTCATATGCAGCGACAAAGAAAACTTCCTGAAGAACATGCCAGGTACCATTGGATTTTTGTCTGGGGTCGTGGGTAGGGGATGCTATGGGACTTTTTATGTGCCAGTGTTTGAAAGGGTAGATAAATCACTTATTTTTGATACTAGTTAATTTTTTGGAAGTCATATAGAGGCTAAGGTAAAAGTTTATTATTATAACATGTGTAACATTATGTATTTACATATATTAATGTAAGTAATTGAAAAGTATAAAAACTATTCAAGGGGAAACCTTCAGTTAACTAAACCCAATTATTTTATCTATTCAACATCCACCATTGAAATAATTGATGGATTTACACTTATTATTTGTATATACTTGAGAGTAATAAAACAATTCCTCTTAAGGTTTTATGTAATTCTGACTATTCTTCCTGTAATTACAATTTCTGAATTGTTCTGCCTTTGGCTTTTTTTTCTCTGATCTCATACATGTTGATGAATAAGAAAAGATCATTAAATATTATTTATTTTTTTGTTTATTTTCTGTCCTTAATTTGACATTATTATATAAGATTGTAAATTGCTTATATGTTGGAGGAATTAGGTAGGGAAGGATCATGGCCTTGGAGAAGTTTAATTCATCAGTGCCATGATTTGTTTTGTTTTGTACTCATAATTAGCAATAATTCTCACCCTGTTGTGCTCCGCAAAAGATGAGGCATATGAGTTTGTATATGCGTGTAACAAAGGTTAAAGATGTTATTTTTGTAAGTACTTAGTGGAAATCTTTTTTTTTTAATTTTTTTATTTTTTAGTGTTGATTTTTGAGAGAGAGAGAGAGACACACACACACACAGAATGCAAGTGGGGGAGGGTCAGAGAGAGAGAGGGAGACACAGAATCTGAAGCAGGCTCCAGCCTCTGAGCTGTCAGCACAAAGCCTGATGCGGGGCTCAAACTCACAAACAGTGAGATCATGACATGAGCCAAAGTCGGATGTTTAACCAACTGAGCCACCCAGGTGCCCCAATTTAGTGGAAATCTTGCTAATACATTGATTCTTTCTTATCAAAAAGAGATACTATCCTTCAATTTTATAAAAAGGTAGAAATTGTACTAATCTAATCTCAGACCAAACTGTATTTTGTTTTGTTTTAATTTCCTGTATGTTCATTTATTTAGGCTTTATTAAATGGTTGCCCTTCATAGCAGAGCCACAAATGACATTTCTAAATGTGACCAGAGCCTGTATTTGTTCCTTGTTTGTTCAGTTGGACATGGGGAAAGTAGTTTTTACTGTATTAAAGTGTCAGTTCTGGTTTTGTGCTTTTCTGGGAACCAAAGTACAAAATAAGGGCTCAGGTTCTCTATTCATAGAATTAAGTAACTGAGAAGGTTTGTGTTATGTACCTCCAAACATGATCATGATAACATTCCCCAAAGTAGCAATAAACCAACTTGAGTGTTTTATTTTCATTGTTCAGGTCAAAAGTTCTGGTTATCGCCAATGAGTTAGTGGCAGTTTTTAAAAAACCCTTTCTTTGATGTTAAATGGTATGGTTGTAGGATAATTCATTTTCTAGAATTTTGGTATGCATTTTATAGTTTGAGTTAAACTTTTAGTATTTTTTTTTTTTATTCTAGACCAATCAATGATTCTTAGCATTTGGAGAGATCATTTGTCTCTTAGAGAAGTGATAGAAGCTATGGAAACTCTGTAGAGGGAGGAGATGTAGATGTACACACGTATGCACAACTGAGCCTCCAGTTGTAGCAGTGTGGACTGTCTGAAGTCATTGTAAGGACCCAGATTAAGAACTTCTGTTTGAGACTTTCAAATTAATAATTTTTTGAAAAGTATGAGTTCAATGTAGACTGGAACTTCTGTAATAGTGTTTTGGGCTCAGGTATTTTTTTCTTTATTTCTTTTTAATTTTTTAAAAGTTTATTCATTTTGAGAGAGCAAGCATGTGCAAGAGAGTGCACGCACATGCGTGCATGCTCGAGCAGGGGATGGGCACAGAGAGAGGGGAGAGAATCCCAAGCAAGCTCTATGCTGTCAGCACAGAGCCTGATAGGGAGCTCGAATCCACGAACCACGAGATCATGACCTGAGCTGAAGTCAGACACTCAGTGAACTGAGCCACCCAGGCACCCTTAAGATATTTTAAAGTGTACTTCAGTTTGTGTTTTGGTGTCATTTCTAAAAACATAGGGAGAAAAAAATCTTTTGACACGATTTTGGTGTTTTCATTTGCAGATGGGGATAGGACTTAAATAACCTCTTCTAGAAACTTACCACAATTCCGAAACTTGAATCAAATGAGTTATTTTTCTTTTTAGATTTTACTCTGCAGAAATCAGTCTAGCATTAAATTATCTTCATGAACGAGGGATAATTTATAGAGATTTGAAATTGGACAATGTATTGCTGGACTCAGAAGGACATATCAAACTGACTGACTATGGCATGTGTAAGGTGAGAAGCATTTCTAGTTAATCAGAAGGTCTCAGCAGCTCATAAAATTGTTTTGGTAAAATAACAATATTTAAAGATGGAGAAATGATTGCTACCCTGTTTGGGATGCTTTTTGGAATTTTAGCACAAAGAAAAATATACATGTTTTCTAATCATTTACAAAAGTCCGTATTTTCTGTGACTGTTATATGTGCTATAATAAGAGTTAATTTCTTTTTATTGTCTGTAACATTTTATTTTGAATGTTGTGAAAGTACTGGAGAAAATTTGGAAATAAAAATTGTCTGCAATCCCATGACTTTAGCATAACTACTTGCGTGTCACCTTCTAGTTTTCGCCATTTAATTGTGACTCGTGATAATGTATTCAAGATTTTCCCAGGAAATGTATCATTTTTTGTATTTAAAATTTAAATATCTGACATAAAGTACAGTAGAACAAAATAAGAATTTCAGTTACTCTCAGGACATGTCCTTTATTTCTCGGACCTATATTCTTTTTGTAACAGTTTTTTATTTAAGAGTCCAGTGTTTTTCCACAAAATGTGTAGGGTGCTACTCTCCTTGTTGAAGTAGCCGGGTCAGAATTATCTGCACACGGTAATATGGCAACAAGCATGTAAACGTATGGATCACACTCTCCCATTTACCTGAAGGAAGTGCCTCCAGAGCTTGGAGATTATTTAAACTATTTAAATGCTAACATTAAGTAAGACACTCTAACAGTATTGAAGATTTAATGTCATTATCTCTTGATAATGACCTTAAAAGAAAATCTTTACCTCAGGTATTTTTGCTTTTAGGTACAAAACTCAGACATTTTTATCTTTTCTTATATTAAATTTCTATTTCCTTAAATTTTTCTATTATACACATCTTTAGTTATAAACAAGTAAACATTTAGTAGGCAAACCCCTATATATCCATTTTTTATGAGATTTGTGATACCTTTTTTTTTATCTCTGTCACTTTTTTACCAGGGGATTTTTTTTCTTATTTCAAAAGAAAAATGTCCTATAATTTGTCAAAGGAAAATAAAGCTGAACAGCAACAACAAAAAACCCATTAAAAATGTTAACCTTGTTAGAAAGTGTACACATTAAAACAATAGTCTTTATTTTTGCATGCCAGATACTGTGTTTGTTTTTTTTTTTTTAATTATAATAGTCTGCTTACAGAGTCTGAAGAAATGGCATTCTTCTATGTCATTGGTGAGTGTATGCATTGTTATAACTGTTTGTAAAGCAGTTTGGTGGGGATGTGTCAGGAATCTTAAAGATATACAGGCACACTCTTTGATTTAGAACTTCTGCCTCTGGGATATTCTTTTTTTACATTTACATCCAAGTTAGTTAGCATATAGTGCAATAATGATTTCAGCAGTAGAATCCAGTGATTCATCCCCTACATATAATGTCCAGTGCTCATCCCAACAAGTGTCTTCCTTAATTCCCCTTGCCCATTCAGCCCACCCCTGACCCAGAACCCCCTCCAGCAACCCTCAGTTTGTTCTCTATATTTAAAAGTCTCTTATCTTTTGTTCCCCTCCCTGTTTTTATATTATTTTTGCTTCCCTTCCCTTATGTTCATCTGTTTTGTATCTTAAATTCCACATATGAGTAAAGTCATACGATAATTGTCTTTCTCTTACTGACCAATTTCACTTAGCACAATACACTCAAGTTCTATCCATGTTGTTGCAGATGGCAAGATTTCACTGTTTTTGATTGCCGAGTAATACTCCATTGTGTATATATACCACATCTTCTGTATCCATTCATCCGTCAATGGACATTTGGGTTCTTTCCATACTTTGACTATTGTCTATAGTGCTGCTATATTGGGGTGCATATGTCCCTTCGAAACAGCACACCTGTATCCTTTGGATAAATACCTAGTAGTGCAATTGCTGGGTCATAGGGTAGTTCTAGTTTTAATTTTTTGAGGAACCTCCATATTGTTTTCCAAAGTGGCTGCACCAGTTTCCATTCCCACTAGTAGTGCAAAAGGGTTCCTCTTTCTCCACATCCTTGCCAACATCTGTTGTTGTCTGAGTTGTTAATTTTAGCCATTCTGACAAGTATGAGGTGGTATCTCATCATGGTTTTGATTTGTATTTCCCTGATGATGAGTGATGTTGAGCATCTTTTCACGTGTCTGTTAACCATCTGGATGTCTTTTGCCCATTTCTTCACTGGATTATTTGTCTTTTGGGTGTTGAGTTTGATAAATTCTTTATAGATTTTGGATACTAACCCTTTGATATGTCATTTGCAAATATCTTTTCTGCCTCTGGGGTATCCTGAGTAGATTTTTTGGCCTATGAGAAAAGGTTTATGACCAAAATTTTTTTCTTGTAGTTGGTGATAAATATTTTAAATATTTTAAATAATCTAAATGGCTGGTAAGGAGAATAATTAGGGGAAATTACGGACTGACCACAAAACATAGCATTATAAAGTCATTTAGAAGATGTTTGCCAAAAGTTCATAACAATATAAAATGTTTATAAATAACATTAAATAGAGTTTTAAAGTATGGCATTGTCTGTTTCTATATGTGTTGTATGTTCTATTGTGTAGCATCATACATTCTGTTTACTTTTACATATTTTTGAGGTTATTATAATGGGCATGCATTACTTAATAAAACTCACAAAAATGAATTGCCTTTTACTTAATTGTAAATTTACTGTTAGCTTGTTTTTAAACTTTTTATTGTTGATATCTTATTTAATTGCCTTGTGGCCAGAACAAAATATATTGAGATTTCCTTTGTGACTTAGTATTTGGTCAGTATCCCATATGTACTTTAAAAAGGATATATAATCTCTTTTTTGCATGAAGGGAGTCTATGTCCTTCACACTCTCTCTTTTCTTTCCCCTTTTCTCCTCATGTACACATAGATTGTACATATTTTATATGTATGTACATTATATATGTATATGTATATTATATATATAATATATATATTTAGCTTTTGTCAAATCTTTTTCTGCTTACTAATTTTTTTGTCTGTATGATATGTCATTTTCTGATACAGATGTTTTGAAATCACCTGTCATGATTTGGGATTGTATTATCAGTTCGGCCTGCTATATCAATATACTGTAGATTAAGTGGTTTAAAAGACAGACATTTACTTCTCATAGTTCTGGAGACTGGGAAGTTCAAGATCAAAGTGCTAGTAGATCCAGTGTCTGGTGAAGGCACTCTTTATGGTTTGCACATGCATGAAGGCACTCTTCATGGCTTGCAGATGGGTAAAGGCATTCTTCACGGTTTGCAGATGTGTCTTTTTGTTGTATTCTTACATGGCAGGGAGAGAAAGAGGGAGTTCTCTTCCTCTTATAAAGACACTAATCCCATCATCCCTAATAACTAATTACCTCCCAAAGTCTCCGTCTCCCAGTGTTATCACATTAAGTCTTCAACATATGAATGGGGGGGGGGGCATACAAATGTCCATTCCATAGCAGGGATTGTGAAATTCTTCTCATTTGTCTATTTTTACTCTTTGTGTTTTGAGGCTGTATTGTTAGGTGCATACAAATTTGTTATAAATTTTTGGTGATTTTCCATTTCTCAGTGTGTAGTTTTTCTGTTATGTACATTAGTGTCTTCTGCCGTAATTTTTTCCATCTGGTAGCTATTGAAATACAAAACCAAAAAATTTGTGCCTTAGGAAAAACAACCAACAGTGCTTGTGTTAGCAGGTGGGATTTATAGTGCTTTTCTTCATAAAATATGATTCCTTTTACTCATATAATTAAAATTTTTATATTAAGTTTTTACCTGAATATAAATTATTTCAAATGCAATTTTTATTTTGATTGAACTCTCCACCAACATCTAATGAGGACAGGCTTTCTTTAAGCTATTTAGGGGCAACTCATGATTTTAATAATAAAGACAACTGTACTAGTAATATTTTATTTAAGCTTAATATATTACCTGTAGATGCTGAGCTTATATAACAAATGAAATAAAAGAGATGAATTTAAAAGATAATTTTTGATCTTATTATTTCTTTTCTCTTTTTTCTTTCTTTTTTATTTTTTCTAAAAGGAAGGATTACGGCCAGGAGATACAACCAGCACTTTTTGCGGTACTCCCAATTACATTGCTCCTGAAATTTTAAGAGGAGAAGATTATGGTAATAAATAAATAGGTGTTATTTTAGCTAAGTGCTAGATGGGTGGTTAAATGTGGTACCCACTGCATTATAGTACTCTGTAGTACTTAAATACTAATCTTATTAATATAAACTTCCTTGATCCCCTTAAAACCTACATGAAAACCCTAAAATATGAAATAAGAGACAGTGGGACCTTAGCAGTATTTGGGGGTACAGATTTGAATATTTTATTAATGGCAACACTAAAAGTTCTAGGCACTAATCCAAGCAGTTTACATTATATTAACTAAATTTATCTTCTTAATAATCCTAGGAGGTAAGCATTGTTAATTCCCATTTTACAGAAAGTTTAGATAACTTGCCCGAGATCATACAGCTAGAAAGTGGCAGAGTAAGGATTTAAACTTTAGCCATGTGACTACAAAGTCATGAACCCTTGGAAGATTGTTCACATTTCCTGGGATATTTCCTCCAGGAATCTGAAAAATGAGGGAGAGATTGACTGCTTGTCAGGAACCAGAGAATATATTTATCTCAAAACATTGGACTTCTTGGGTTCTGGCCCTCTGATTTCAGCAGATGTGAAGGAGGATGGTACTTCTGACAGCCGTTCAGAATCTGATTCCAAGGTCCTTCAAGGATCTTTAATCAACTAGCAGAAGATCAAGTTTCAGACCCACGAAAGTTATTCTCAAATAAAATTTAATTACATCCTCAAAAAAAAAAAAAAAAGATACAGACTATGAGTCTGAAATTACAGGCATATTTGGGAGAAGGAACTTAGTGTTTCATTTCCAATATTTTTTCCCCAATATTTTATTTTTAAAGTTATCTTTTAGGTACCTCCCCTTGTTGATAAGTGAAATATTCCTATAATCTTCACTGCCAACCATGATAGTTATAATGCATTTAGAGTTTATTTTTCATTATGTTTAATTTTTAATTATACAATGAAATGAATCTCAAGTTACTGACTTTTAAGAATGCAGAATAGATGATTTGTTGCTTCAAAAAATTTCTTTTTTGAAGGTTTCAGTGTCGACTGGTGGGCTCTTGGAGTACTAATGTTTGAGATGATGGCAGGCAGATCTCCATTTGATATTGTTGGAAGCTCGGATAACCCTGATCAAAACACAGAGGATTATCTTTTCCAAGGTAATTTGCGGTATTTTACAGATTCTCTGTGAATAACCTATTCTAGAGTATGAATGAGGATGGCTCAGATTTTTACCTTGAGTAAGAGGAGAATAATTGGACAATATACTTCTTAATATGTAAGTCTTCATTTTTTTTTTAATATTTATTTTTGAGAGAGAGAGAGAGAGAGAGAAGGAGAGTGAGAGAAGGAAGGGCAGAGAGAGGGGGAGACAGAGAATCCCAGGCAGGCTCTGCACTGTCAGCACAGAGCCCAGCGTGGGGCTCACACTCACGAACTGCAAGATCATGACCTGAGCTGAAATCAGGAGTCAGATGCCCAACCAACGGAGCCACCCAGGCACCCCTTCATTTTTTTAAAAATATATCTTCCTACTTCTGTTCCTTCAGTCCCATTTACCAACTACTTTCTTATACTCAGAAATATAACAAAGAAGTTCCTTCAGATTGTATATCACAGAGATGAGAAGAAGGAATCCTGTGGCTAGAGACGAATATCTTTTCACATGGACCCCGAGGCTGAGTGCATAAGTCCAAGAACAATATGGAGGAAAAAGTGGGGTACCAAGAATATAAGAGGATCAAAAGGTGAAGAAAAGAAGGCCCACAATTGGAAATACAAAGACTCAAACAGGGAAAAAAAAAAAAAAAGACAAGGGATCACCCCCTGCTCCCAACACCCAGTCCAAAGATTTCCATGAAATTCTACATTTAATAATTAAGGCCATCACAGGAAATGAATAGCTGTTTCATGGAACAGAAAATCCAGATGGCCATGGAATATATGAAAAAGCATTTAGCTTCACTAGTAATTAGAGGTTTGCACATTAAAACATTAATGAGCTACTATTTCCTGCCCGTGCATTTGCCAGAAATTTTAAAGTCCGATAATACCAGGGCTGGTGAGGATGTGGATGGAGTAAGTGGAACTCTCATAGACTGCTGGCAAGCAGTGAAAATTGATTTAACAGCTTTGGAGAACAACTTGGCAATGTCTAACAAAATTGAGTATAGTAACATGTACCTCACATTTTGTAGCTATTAACTCATTTAAACCTCATAACAACCCCATGAAGTAGGTATTATTTTTATTCTAATTTTACAGATGAGGAAACCGAGGCACAGTAAGGTAGTCAAAGAATAAAATATGCATGTAAATGATAAGGACAGCATTCAGAGAAGAGGCTCTCTGAGAGGGAAGGATAGGCGCGAGCCTGAGAAAGCACATGAGACGCTGAAGTAGTATATGTAATACCTTATTTTTTTCTTTGAGAACGCCCTTAAGTAGCTCATAATACAAATGTAAAATTGAAGCTATGTAAAAGTGAAATATAATACCACTATTTTATCTTTCTAGTTATTTTGGAAAAACAAATTCGCATACCACGCTCTCTGTCTGTAAAAGCTGCAAGTGTCCTGAAGAGTTTTCTCAACAAGGTATAAATTGAATGTAAAAATCTTCAGCGGTTTATCTCTGTATAGATGAGACTAAGTAGAGGTTCAGGCAGTGTAATATTCCAAAACACTAGGGTATAATAATTTTTTTTCAGTTAGATCTAGAACTTATCTCTTTACCAAAGAGTATTAGATCCCGAGATGAATTGTCCTTTCCATTTTGACAGTGTAAGTCACTGCCAGCTATATATTACATATGGGTTTTTAATGTAGATGATATATATACCATGTACTCAATTAGGGAAAAATTACATCTTTGGGGATAGCCTCAATCGTACTTACAGCTTTGTTACTCAGTTTTCTTTGGATTATTATTCATAGATCTCTTTCCTTATTGAGCACTTGGGACAGTAGTGTTCTGTACAGATTATCATGTCAAAAGCCCTGTAATCAGATAAAATTCAGAAGAAATGAAAAGCTGTCATTGGTTCTTAAAAAATCTGAAGACCATTCAATTCTTCATTGTGGTCGGTAGGTTAGAAGAGTTTTAGGATCTAAGATTATGATTCTGAATGGTTTTTACTCATAACACTTCTAACACCAAATGTGTAGGTTTTTTTCCACACCAACAACCAATTCTCCACCTCTCTGGACATCAACTTGGTATATTACAATTCAGTTTATTTCTGATACTAACTACCTAGAGTTACCATCAGATTCCAGGGGTTTAAGGGCTCAGTCCCATAAAACTATCTTCACCTCAAGTGCCAGTCATGAGTCATGAGTATTGAGTACCCACATTTCTGTCTGACTTGGCTACAGAGTTGAGCTTCCCACAATTCTCACACCTCAGGTTCAGTAATTCGCTAGAATGGCTCACAGAACTCAGGAAAATAGTTTACTTGCTATCACTGGTTGGTTATAAAAAAAGATACAAATGAACAGCCAGATGAAAAGATACACGGGGTGCAGTCCAAAAGGATCCTGAGCACAGGAGTTTCTGTCCCTGTGGAGTTAGGGTACACACCCTCCGTGTCTCCCAGCATATGGACATATTCACCAACCCAGAAGCTCTCCAAACCCTGTGGTTCAGAGGGCTTTATGGAGGTTCCATTACATTGACACAATTGATTGAATCATTATCCATTGGTAGTTGACCTCCACCCGTCTGAAAATGAGGCTTAAAGTTACAACTCTCTAATCACATGGATGGTTCCTCCGGCAACCAGATCCCATCCTGAGCTATCTACCAGCCCACCAAGAGTCACATTATTAGTATAAACTCAGGTGTAATTGAAAGGGACTTGTGAATAACAAAAGATAATTGGCTCACTCAGGAAATTACTCACTCAGGTTTTAGAAGCTGTGTCAGGGACCTGGGACAGAGACCGGATACGCTTATTGTATCACGGCGATCTTGGCAATCATAAATGTTTTCTTAAATAAATTGTAGGTTAGAAAAAGTAGGTTGATGTGCATTTATCATCTAAGGTAAATATAGATAATGATGAATTTTAACAAAATGAGAAATTGAGGCTTTTGAGTACTTTAGATGGAGAAAGATTTAAAATGGAAATCTAGGTATTAGCACGCTGCAAAATGAAGGTGAGAGGTTTTAATGTTCAAAATAAAATGCCTTTTATTGGAAAGGAAAATGGTAGCATGTTCTCATTCACAGTAATGAATAAGCCAAGACTGTTTGTTTGTTAAGTTACAGCCCCTTAGTCCCATGGGTCACATAATGGTTGTATCACGGTTATACACAGATTATATTGTTTTGTTGCTGTAACTGGACATAGAGCTTTACAGATGAGCTAAGAACACACTTATGGAGTTTCGGGGTTTGTATATTTTGACCAGCACAATAACCTGTGCCAAAGAAATAGGTGGATGCTGCTGAAATGATTGTGCTGTCCTCTTTTCCCTCCCCTTTTCCTGTAGCAAGGAGTAGTGACCTGTATCCACTATAATCACATGATAGCCGGAGACAGAGCCATGAGGAAATTGTACTTGTCACAAGCTTCAGATACCCATTTAAGTCTAGTGTTGTACTATGATGTAATTTCAGAGATACAGGTATTATATAAGAGACACAAAACCCAGGTCACAAAGAGGATTTATTTATTCTAAAGCACGATATCCCTCCAGTTCTTGAAACGTTTCTCTCCATCATAGGACCCAAAGGAACGATTGGGTTGTCATCCTCAAACAGGATTTGCTGATATTCAGGGACACCCATTCTTTCGAAATGTTGATTGGGATATGGTATGTAAATTGTCATTGTTTTCTATATTAGGTATCCTTATTATCTTGGGCCAAATTTTATTCTCTTAAAAGAATGTTAAAAAAACAAAACAAATATATCATAGCTTAAGTAACTTAAGCCACACTCTAAAGTGCTTTTTAAAAAGCTTTTAAAACAATAAAAGCTTAGAATATTAATTTAATGGAGCAGGTTGTAATATTAGTAAGGCCTATATCAGCGTTCAGTTTTGTACATTATTTCCATCATTGTGAATACCGTTGAACCACGCCTAAGGACTCGCTGTGATAGGATGTGGAAGCCTCTGAGGGAAGAGGAGAAATGTAGAGGTGGAATTTTTTCTAAGAACGTAGGCTTGAGCTGTCATCTAATGTCTTTCTAGATGGAGCAAAAGCAGGTGGTACCTCCCTTCAAACCAAATATTTCTGGGGAATTCGGTTTGGACAACTTTGATTCTCAGTTTACTAATGAACCTGTCCAGCTCACTCCAGATGACGAGTAAGTAACTCTATAGACTGAAATATTTCTGAAGTTATTTGGAAGTTTCCTTTTTAGTGGCTACACAGTGCTTCATTACCAGATTATAACATAATTGAATTAGCCATTCAATTATGGGATATTTGAATCTATTACACTATTATAAGTCATAACGACTGCCCTTTTCTGCTTTGCCTTACGTGCCTTCTCTCTAATTCCCACAACAACATGATAAATCTACTAACTGTCATCTTCCTCTTACAGATGAGGAAACTGAGACCCAGACAGGGCAAGCAGAGTCACACAGCTGTCAGGTGGCAGAGTCAGGATGGAAACCCGAGCTCTTTCCACTGCACTGCACTGTTTTGAAGATGACTGTCTTTGAGTTCCTGAGTATTACTTTAAGATAGATTCTCAGAGAGGGAATTAGATCAAAGAGTGAAAATTTGTTTTAAGTTTATTTATTTTGAGAGTGCACAAACACGAACAGGGGGATGGGGGGGGGGAGAGAGAGAGAGAGAGAGAGAGAGAGAGAGAGAGAGAGAGAGAGAGAGAGAGAGAGAATGAATATACCAAGCAGGCTCCACACTGTCAGTGCAGAGCCCGATGTGGGGCTCAAAACTCACAAACTGTGAGATCATGACCTGAGCTGAAATCGAGAGTCGGACACCCAGCTGACCGAGCCACCCAGGTGCCCCTAAAGAGTATGAAATTTTGAAAGCTCTTGATAAGTATTGCCAAATTGCTTATTAAAAAGATGACATTAACTTACCAAGTCTAGCCAGCGGTGATCTGACATATTTTTTATGTGTATGTTCATCTTTTAAAAGTATGGTTTAGAATAATTTGGGCATATTTGATTGTTTACCTCTCTTTACAGATTCGTTCTGTCATCTCAAGGAGGCCCTTACTCCTTGTCAATATTTTCACTTCTGTCTTGTTAATTCTTACCACATTCCTCATGCAGCTGTTCAAACCATCTCTACATTTTGGAAGCCTTCAGTCCTACCCCTGCCTTCACCACTTCTAACGGACTAACCTTGCCTTAGCTTGACTGCAAGGGTTGAGACCTGGCTGGTGTGAGCTTGCTCTGTTTTCAGCTGTCACAGACCATCTTGCATCTCAGAATTGCTGTCTCTCCCACCTCCTTTTTCTTCCTCCCTATTCTTGGAAGGCTATCCCTCTTTTGCAAGGGGTGCTCCATTTTCCTAGATCTGTTTCCTTAGCTTCTGCCAGGATTTCATTTTGTCAGTTATGTCCATTACTCCACCTTCTTTAATTTCTCTTTTCCTGCTGCTCTTCTTCTATTTATAAACATGCTCAGATATCCTAATTTGCCCCCTGGATCTTAGCACATCTTTAAACCACCATATTTTCTTCCCTCATTTTCTTTTCAAGAAACTCGATGCTCATGGTAAAAGAAAAATAAATAAGCAGTATCTCCATCAAACTCCTTCAGAGTAGTCAACATTGATTGTCTTGTACTTTTCTTACTACCTGCACTTTAACTCTTTACAATTTAACCTGCTTCTTCGGCTTTTGACGGTTGAGTTGATTTGTCAATTTCTGATTTTTGTTTAATGTTTATTCATTTTTTGAGAGAGGGAGAGGCAGAGGCAGAGAGAGAGGGAGACACAACATCCGAAGCAAGTTCCGGACTCCGAGCTGTCAGCACAGAGCCCGCCCGATACAGGGCTTGAATTTACGGACTGTGAGATCATGACCTGAGCTGCAGTCAGACACTTAACCGACTGAGCCATCTGGGCGCCCCTGTTGATTTCTGATTTTTAAAGCATGTTTTGATCAGTCCTCATCTCCCCTGATGTCTGTGAAGCATTTGGCACTCATGGCCTTGCTTTGTTGGGCACTACCCATCCTGGTCTGCTTCATCTCTGTGACCACTTATCATCCTTTTTCCCCTGTCCCCTCAAGACTGAGATGTTCCACAGTTCTGTTCATAACAGCCGCCTTTTTGCTATATGCACTTTGTTCCTTGGAGATTTCGGCCAGCCCCACATCACTGATACCAGCTATTTAAATCACACCCAGCTAAATTGGCAAACGGTTTTTGAGCAAAGGGCCCTGTGCTAAGTACTGGGCATTAAAGACGATTAAGATGTAGGCCAGTCTTGTAAAAAAGCTTACTGTCTACCAAAGGAGAGAGTAATGTACGAAAGTCATTATTCTGACAGTGTCATGTATTAAAAAGAACACTAGATTTAATCAAAAGATAGGAATTTGAATCCTGACCTCACCTCTTACCAACTGAGTAACCTGGGTTCAAATTTCATAACTTCTCTGTGCCTATTTCTTCTCTTACTGCCTACCTCAGAAGGCTGCTGTGAAGAATAAATGAGCCATAGTTCCTAAAGCACCCCCCACCTGCTATCTCTCCTGAACTGCATTTCTATCTGCTTGTTTAAACATCTTCCCTGGTTTGTCAGACAAGCACCTCAGACATACGAAATCTGAAATAAAGGTAATGACTTCTTGGGGCGCCTGGCTGGTTCATTCAGGGGAGCATGTGACTCTTGATCTCAGGGTCGTGAGTTTGAGCCCCACATCGGGTGTAGAAATTACTTTTAAAAAAGGAAAGAAAAGAAAAGAAAAAGAAATGACTCTTTATGGTCTCTTTTTCTGTTGTTCTCAATCAGTTCCTTATTTTTATTTACTTTTTCGTGCTCATTATGCCATCATGTGTTCCTGCATTCAGATCCAAAATGTCCATGATTATTGACGGTTCCTTTTCCTTAACAAACGATAATGTGTTCAGCTGCCAACTCCTTGTCTGTTCTTTCTTTACTTCATCACTTGTGTCAGATCCTTCGTTTTCGTTCCCATTGTCGTCAGCCCCATTCACACCTCTTTCAAATCATGCGTAGAATATTACACCATCCTCCTGATCGGGCTCATCCTTTGCTTTGCAACCCATCCTGTACATCTCCTGCAGTAGCACTACCAGTTTTTTAACCCCCCCCCTTTGTCAGAAGCCTCCAGTAACCTCCTCCTTGTCTAGAAGATAAAACCTGTCATCTCAGCCAGCAGTCACGGCCTTCTACCCTCTCCTCCCACCCGACTCTCCAGCCCTCTCTCACTGTGCTCCAACACAAATGCTGTGTTCTGACCAGTCTCCATTACTCCACATCCCCGGATAGTGTGCTGTTACCTTTGCTCATGCTGTTCCCTCTGTATGCCTCCTTCATTTTTACATACTGGAATCTTCTCCATCTTGCTGAGCTACCTCAAATGCAACCAGGTCTTTGATGAATAAAGGTGAAACTCCTTACTCTAGTAAGCATTACTGGCTTCCTTTAACTGGCCATTACCTTCCTCCCAGATCATCTACCTTTGACATGCTTCTGTTCCTGTGCTTTCAACTCCAGTAAATTACTTGGCGCTTTCCCAGACCTAACATAGTCTTTCATAATTCTGTTCAGTAAGTGGTTGTGGAATGAATGCTGGCTTTCTCAATTTCTGCAACTAGAAGTCACCCTTCTCATTAGAACTGTGCTTAGATCAAGACTTAGCTGTCCCATATGAAACTTAGCAGGTACTGCTTTCCCTTGTAGCTTTTCTTTATATGGGATACCTTCCCTCCTCGAAGGAAGGGACTGTATCCTGTGTAACTTTGCTCTGCAGTATGGTGTGTGCATTTAAGTATTCAAATATTCATTGGTATTACTCTTACTGCATATTAAATTAGAAACCCAGTATAACAGAATGCCAACATCTCTATACCCTATGACCCATGACCTCCCTGTGGTGTCCTCTCCTTATTCTAGGTCTTTCTATGTACTTGTCCCTATTGCCTTTTCCTTTTGGCTAACTTCTTCTGGGCCTTCTTGTCACTATCTTCCTGTTGAGGTGACTACTAAATTGAATGCTAATTCAGACCTGGATGTTCGCCTCTAAGTCTGAGTGTTGTTCAGGTCAAAAGTTAAGATTAACCAGAATTGTGACAATTTGTGACTTTTAATTTCTAGCCTTCAATTTTGGACTACCTTTTAGTTCTAAACCTGCTTACAGGATTGTTAGTCTTTTATTTTCAGTACTCTTGATTCTTCTAGAAGATGTTTTGGGATTAATCTAAATACTTGTAGATTTCTTCCCCCATAATTTATATAAATTAGCCTTATTTTTTGTTTTTTAACTTTCGTTTACCATTTAAATAAAAAGTTGAAGAAATCTAGATTATGAAAATTAATTTATTTTTCTTTCAACAGTGACATTGTGAGGAAGATTGATCAGTCTGAATTTGAAGGTTTTGAGTACATCAATCCTCTCTTGATGTCTGCAGAAGAATGTGTCTGATCCTCATTTTCCAACCGTGCATTTTGCTTGTGTTCCCATTTAATGCATGAATAAACTCGTTACCAGCCTGGATACAATGAACCATTTTATATTTCTTACCTACAAAAAAAGCATTCAGTATCTTCTATTGTTGGCTGTAAGAGTCAATTATTACATCTAACTATGAAAAAGAAAATGAAACTAGTTTCCAGACGGTCGTGTCAACATTCAGTTATACTGGTAATCCAGCAGCCTACTGATGAGTAATGAAGTTGTCCTTTTTGTTTAAAGGAAATACTTAACCACCGCGTTTAAGGCACATGATGGGATTGTGTCATAAACCTACTGTGATTTTTGTCATTCTTCATTTAGTCCTTAAAGTTTTAAATTTTGGAATAGAAGAGTAATTCAAAATACAACAACTTATATTACCTATTACTTTCTGAGTTCTTTGTGTTTAAAAATTCAGCTGTAAGTTTTATTGCCTTGGATAATTAAGTTATTGATTTTTAAGGCAACAGTTATTAAATTGGTACTAAAGGATGTCACTTGCTTAGAATTAGGGAATACAAGTTCTCCTTGGGGAAAAAAAAACCAGGCACATTTTATTAAGTGTTAGATTCTAAATCATTAGCTATTTTTGAAAAACTGATGAGTGATTTCTTAGGATAGGGGTGTAAGCTTCTGAGCTTATCCCTTTAGCCAGAACTTTAACTGGAATGTTAGTAACTGTCATTCAAAGAACCAGGATGCATTTGAATGGAGCATTTCTCAGTATATAGAAAGGGAGAAAAATAGAAATTAAAAATGTTTTAAATTAAAAAAAAAAAAAAAAAAAAACACCAGAAAAGTGCAATGGTAATCCCACAGTGACTTTTTATGGTTTTAGATAACAAGGAAGCACTCCTTATCAAACTTGTAAAAGCATTCCATTATCCAGTAGAGACAGAACGTATGCAATTTTTTCTTTATAACTTAATATACATAAAAAGTATTTTATCTTCCAAATAGTGTCTTAACCTTACTCATTTATTCACCAAAACCACATTATCCATACTTTTGGACCCTGTTTATAGTATGGAGTCTTCAGTGAAATTAAAAAAGGTCAACATGAATAAATATTCAGAACACAGACATACATATTCCACAAGTTCCAGCTCCTTAAATGAGTTTTTGCTAAGTGGGTAACACATATGATCAGAGTGGAATACATTTCAGGGGCAGAGTTCTTCAGATTATTTTTTATTAATACTAGTGTTTAGCAATTTATTATTTAAAGGGATGCCTGTGATAGCATCCGTTTATTTTGAATATTTTTTTAATGTTTATTTTTGAGAGAGAGCTTGTGAGTGGGGTAGGGGCAGGGGGGTTACAGAGGATCTGAAATGGGCACTGTGCTGACAGCAGGCGAGCCTGCTATGGGGCTCGATCGAACTCACCCAACTGTGAGATCACAACCTGAGCTTAAGATGAATGCTCAATCAACTGAGCCACCCAGGTGCCGTGCCCCTAAATATTTTTTTAATGAAAAGGGATTTTAGTAAAAAGTAACAATAATCATCTAAATTACTCACAATTGTCCAATCTTAGTAAAATTTAATTTGGGGGGAAGCTAGCTGGTCTTAAATTTATAATGATTTAAAATTTATAGGCATCTAATAATTAATTGTTTTTTTGGATGCTACCTTTTATTTGAAATGTAATTTTTCTGAAGTTTCCGACCATGTACTCATTTTTCTTCAAATGACCAAATCTGAAAGCAATGAAAACCTCAAAGGAAAAAGTTTATATACACTCCCATGTTTATGTAAGAAGTATGTATGTTTTTCTTAATACCTAAAACTTGTTTTCAAAAAGCAGTGTTCACTTCAAATCATAAACTTACAGAAAATTCTGACATATCAGAAATATGTTTATGACCTTGCTTTTAAGTGGTACTGTCTCCCCTAGGGCATTAGTTCCCAAATTGTAGAATGGGGAACGATCACCTGGGACATTTGTTTAAAATGCATATTGCTGGGCCCACCTTAGAATTCTGTTGGGTCTTTGGGCCTTATTTTAAGAAACACTTTCTTTGAGTTATTCTTTTATTTTGGCTGTAGTTATATATTAGAATATTCATGATAAGTTTTGAGAAAGGGGTAGGCAATGAATTACTGTCTTATCTACAATTTTAAATAAACTTTGAATGACTTCTTCAAGTTAGATCTCTCTTCCCCAAAAAAATCCTATCCATTTTCTATCAATAATGTTACAAATGATGAACATTTTTCTGTGATGAGGTTTTAACCATTATTCAGGGTGGTCTTTTGTGTTTAAAAAAATTTTTTTTAACTAATAACATTTACTGTGCATATTTTATACAGAATTGCATTACAAATATGTTTTTAACTGTGTTCTGTTTTTTGTAGTTTTTAAGTGCCATGCCAGTTGTTTTTATATTATATAGAAGTTCTCTCAAAATACTCAGCGGGAATAAGGCAGTTGACAGAATGGTTGGAATTTTAGTGTACTAAGAAAAAATTTATATTCCATAAGCATGTATGTGGTCAGCTCATTTTATGTGAATGCAGCCTGAATTAGATATCAGGTATTATACTTGTTTAGTACCTGTACATTTACTTTTTAAATTCTGTTTTGTTTTGCTTTATGTCCTACAGAATACTGCCTTGATCATCATAGTATCTGTATTTGTGTACCGTTTTTTTTTTTTTTTTACTTTAAAATCTTTAAATAAAATGTTTAATATTCATCAAGATTGGAACATGTTTAATATGTAGCATATCAAATTTGTGTAAGAACAGGGTGTATCAAAATTTGTTCAGGAAGAAAAGTGAAAATTTTAGAGTATGGAATTTTCCTGTACTTACAGCAGCATTTTGGTAGTACTAATGCCCTATTGCAGACATTCATCCATAAAATATTGTTCAGTGTGTTTTCAAACTTGCCCTTCTATGCATCCCTTCTATTAGAAAACAAATTAGCAAGAAATCAGCTGAACATAGTTTTAACCAGTTTTAAAAGTGAAGCAAATTTAAACGGATTCAGAACAGATTACTCCCAAATTATTTTGTACAGTGATCTAAAGTTCCAGACCTTCTTGTTTCTCCGTTGTAGCTGGTGTCCCTATATAACAAGCGTGAGCCTGGCACTCCACACTTACAAACCTCTTTACCATAACTTAATGTCTTCTTACCTTCACGAGGAGAATGAAATCTTAAGTGCCTTTACTTTTTTCCTCCGTGCACTTGTCAGAGAGCTAGGGCGTATATATATTAAAACCACCAAGGACTGATCTCTGTCTGACCATTTTATTTTATTAAAGACTTTTTAAAAATGTTTATTGATTTTGTGAGAGAATCCCAAATAGGCTCCATGCTGTCAGTGCAGAGCCCCACGTAGTGCTTGATCTGAAGAACCATGAGGTCATGACCTGAGCTGAAATTAAGAGTCAGATGCTTAGCAGACTAAGCCACCCAGGTGCTGCTTAAATATTTTATTTTAAAGAAAACCAAAGCTGGAGGCATCACAATCCCAGACTTCAAAATGTATTACCAAGCTGTAATCATCAAGACGGTATGGTACTGGCACAAAAACAAGACACTCAGATCAATGGAACAGAATAGAAAACCCAGAAATAGACCCACAAATGTATGGCCAACTAATCTTTGACAAAGCAGAAAAGAATATCCAATGGAATAAAGACAGTCTCTTCAGCAAATGGTGCTGGGAAAACCAGACAGCGACATGCAGAAAAATGAACTCGGGCCGCTTGATTACATCAGGCACAAAAATAAACTCAAAATGGATGAAAGACCTAAATGTAAGATAGGAAGCCATCAAAATCCTAGAGGAGAAAGCAGGCAAAAACCTCTTTGACTTCAGCTTCAACAACTTCTTGCTTAACACGTCTCTGGAGACAAGGGAAACAAAAGCAAAAATGAACTATTGGGATCTCATCAAAATAAAAACTTCTGCACAGCGAAAGAACCAAATCAAAACTAAAAGGCAGCCAATGGAATGGGAGGAGATACTTGCAAATGACATATCAGATAAAGGGTTAGTATCCAAAATCTACAAAGAACTTATCAAACTTACCCCAAAAACAATCCGGTGAATAAATGGGCAAAAGACATGAATAGACTTTTCCAAAGAAGACATCCAGATGGCTAACTGGCACACGAAAAAATGTTTAACGTCACTCATCATCAGGGAAATACAAATCAAAACCACAATGAGATACCACCTGACACCAGTCAGAATGGCAAACATTAACAACTCAGGCAACAACAGATGTTGGTGGGGATGTGGAAAAAGAGATGTTTTTTGCACTGCTGGTGGGAATGCAAACTAGTGCAGCCACTCTGGAAAACAGTATAGAGGTTCCTCAAAAAATTAAAAATAGAACTACCCTATGACCCAGCAATTGCACAACTAGGTATTTATCCAAGGGATACAGGTGTGCTGTTTCAAAGGGACATGTGCATTCCAATGTTTATAGCAGCACCATCAACAATAGCCAAAGTATGGAAAGAGCCCAAATGTCCATCGGTGGATGAATGGATAAAGAAGATGTGGTATATATATACAATGGAGTATTACTCGGCAATCAAAAAGAATGAAATCTTGCCATTTGCAACTACGTGGATGGAATTAGAGGGCATTATGCTAAGCAAAATTTATCAAAGACAAATATCAAATGACTTCACTCATATGAGGACTTTAAGATACAAAACAGATGAACATAAAGGAAAGGAAGCAAAAAAATATAAAGACGGGGGGACAAAACATAAGACACTCTTAAATATGGAGAACAGAGGGTTGCTGGAGGGTTTGTGGGAGGGGGTGTGGGCTAAGTGGGTAAGGGGCATTAAAGAATCTACTCCCGAAATCATAGTTGCACTATATGCTGACTAACTTGGATGTAAATTTTTTTTTTAATTAATTAATTTAAAAATAAAACCCAAATTAAAAAAAATACTTTAAAGTTATCTCTACACCCAACGTAGGGCTCAGATTTA